GCTAAAGGGGCCACTTGCATTCGGCTCCCTGGGGCTCTGTCAAGACCGACTATTCTGACCTAATGCCTTGATCAGCATAGTTTCGGGGTTCTGCTGTTTGCGATGCGCCCAATTGAATGTCCAGGTCGGTGTCTGGTTTCTACATGTATCTTTATCGGCCATCGTGCAGCCGTTCCTTGCGCTACTGCAGGGAGTACTTGACACGCATGCAGCTCTCTAAGACATCCATACCTCAGGATGGAAAAGATTATAGGTGGCTAAACAAGCTTGACATAAACAAAAGGTTAATCCAGGCATCTCTATGCTAGTCAATACATATTGTATAGGCTTGTTACCCGCGGTATAACGGAGACGAGCGATCCACATCTGAGCTAGTGATCAACTCATATCGCCCGTGGGCTAGAGTGAACCTTTAGTAGAAGTCTGCAAGCCTCTATTCCTGTAGGATGGGGGAGACCTCCGTTGTATCTAAGAAATAATTGTTTTGATATTGCGCGCCAACCGCGCCAATATACTGCTGTATACAGATGCATTGGTATTCACGCTGTTTAAGAGCCCAACAATGCTATAACGTTACTCTCTGAATGGATTCAACGGTGCACGTAGTCTGATACCGGTGATACTCCGTATGTATGTATGTCAATCTGCAATAAAGTAGCCAAGATTCGCAGGGAGGTTCAGAATAGTACATGTAATGTAGGCCGATCTAACAGTGGCGACCTACCATAACATGTCGATCAGGGCTAAGTTATAACGAACGTTAGTACGCACATGTAGATGTACACAGGTCATCACCAGAATGATATCCACTTCCTACTACAGATCCGCCCTAATTGACCCAAGTTGAAATCTCGGCACTAGGATTACTTGAAATAATTTACACCTCCTGGGCAATGGAAGAAAAAGAAAAATGAACAAAGTAGGGCGGAACTGTCAATCCACTATCTCGTATATAGTATGTCACATCACATCAATTGCCCCTTCGCAGACTACCTACCAGCTCCTCTGCATTCTATCTGGAATTGATGTACACGGGTATCAGGAAGATCCAAAACCTCCAGTCCTCGGCATGCAGGGCGCGATCTAATGTACTAGAACGAAAAAGAAACATTGGGAGAAGAGTATGTCAAAATCACATCAGAACAAGAAAAAAAGACTTGCCAGAAAGATCAAAAGAAGATAAGAAGAAACTCGTGAGACAGCGTCAATGGGAATCAAGTGGAACCAAGATCAGCCAAATGCTAATGATAAGAGCACAAATTGCACGATGTCCGGGGTACACGGCAGACAACCGTCAAGCTTCAAGAGGAGCAGTGCAAAGGACGAGCAGCTCTCTGAAGGAGCAATGGGATCATCGACGGTCGAAGAACCAGCTGCTGCGCTTACCAGTCGCCTCTTGCGATTGTACGCCCGCGACGTTCGCGTTCGCTGGCCCGTCCGAGGTGCCACCGCCGCGTAGCGGCTTCGCGATGCGCGACCCCCCGAAGCTAAAACTCGCATTGCCGTCCATACTAGGTAAGCCTCGGGTGGAGCCTTGCTTGGCTGCCTCCAGGCGCTCCTTGACGGCAGTGAGCTGAGCTTCGAATCTGTACAAGTAATTAGCATTTAGCTCGCTGTGAGCATCTGAGAGCTGCAGAAAAATCATACCTGTGGTTGGCCTGGGTCAGCTTCTCCTGGCTCTCCTGGAGCAGAGCCTCCAGGCTGGCAATACGCTCATTGCGTGCAATCAACTTGCGCTCAGCGATGGCCACCTCCTTCTTGAGACTACTGTTCTGTTCCACAAGCTGGCGCTGAACATGAGTCAGCTGCTCAAGGTTGCGCTCCAAGAAGGCCATCTTCTTCTGTTGAGCGCGGTTGTTGGATGAGCGAAGGACGTTGTTATACTGCTCCCGCGCATCATCCAGGGAAATCTCCAACTCGACCACACGCTCACAGCGGTTTTGCAGGTCACGCATGAGGGATTTCTTCATAGCATCGAACTCGGTGATTTGCTGCTGCAGAGTCTTGCTGGCAGCACCGTTGGTTGACGTGCGGGACTGGGTATCAACAAGGGATTGGCGCAACTTTGTCAACTCCTCATCTTTGCGCGAGATATCAGAGCGAAGATCCTCGGCTGCTGCAGTCTCGGCCTCCTTCTTCGTCACGTAAACCTTCTCCAGGCGTTCACGAATTTCCTCCACGTCGCCCTCGCCAAGGTTTCGGGTCAGAAGACCCTCGTAATCTTGCTGAAGTCCATCCAATTTCTTCTCCAAGTCTGCGCGGCGGCTGTCCTGCAGCTCGCCAAAGTCGCTTCGATCATTTACAGTCAACTCGGCCTGTCGAATAAAGCCCTGTGCCTCGAGTAGATTCGTGCGGAGCTCGAGAATGTCGTCTGGGGCAATTGTTTCACCCTCGGCGCTGATCTGGTGCAGGACGTCAACGCGTTGGATCAAGTCTTGTAGCTTGCGTTCATTGTCGGAGAACACATCACCACCAAGGTCGAAACCAGCCATCATCTTAGCCATCTTTTCTGTTTTCTTCTTTTCCTTCTCATCAAGCGCCGCAGTAGTTTCCTTGGCTCGCATGCGAACATCCAGAAGCTGTTGCTTCACCTCGTCAAGCTCGCCAGTGAGCTCAGAATTGGCCTCGCGGAGGCCGTCCATCGTAATGGCCGCTTCCTTGCTCTCGTATGAGACCTTCTCAAGTTGCATGCGGAGCTCGTTGACCTCTGTACCCAATCGTTCGTTATCCTTGCCAGTTCGTGCACCATTTTCCTTCATAGACCTGAGCTCCTCCCGTGCCTCACGGAGGCTGCGTTCCACATTGACAATGTGGGACTCCTTCTCTGAAATCTGATCCTGGAGCTCGTTCTCACGTCGCAAGAATTCCTCGCGCTCATCCTTCTCCAGCACCAGGCTGGGAGTACTGGAACGATCCCCAACTCGAGAATCTGGACGCGGTGTTTCAGAACGAGCAGTTTCCTGAAGACGCGAAGGAGTACCTGGCCGTGGGGCACGTGCTTCGGCCTTTGCGGCGCTTAGAATCTCATTTCCGCGAGAGGGGGTCCATTGGTCCTTGGGCACGCTATCACCGCTACGCCAGAGGCTGACTTCGCCCTCCAAGGCAGAGATGTAGCTTTCGAAATTTGTCATTTGGCTCTGCGCCTTCCGCAGCAGTTGCTTCATTTCCGCTGGGCTTAGCTCTGCGTTAACCTTGGCCTTGTTCTTGATTGCCTTGGCGCGTACACCGAATCGTAGGGTTGAGATTGTTTCCGCATCGTTGTAGCTGCTGGGCGAACAATTGATAATCAGGGTCGTCCGTGAGTTACCTCCCAGGGACTCTTGGAGAATTCGGGTAAGTTTGGAGTCACGGTACGGAATATGTGTCGATTTGCCGTCTGTCAACGCGTTGATGACCATTCCTAGGGCACTCAAACTCTTGTTGATCTTCTTGGCCTCCTCCAGGGTCTGGCCACTTGCGCCGGTCTTACCGACTTTTTCACTACCAGCCAAATCGACCAAGAACAGCTGTCCACTCTTGGCGGACCCGGTCTCGACATTCTTCTGAGTGACGGTGATAACGAAGATGGAGTGGGAGCGAGATGATTCCTGGTTCATGTTGGTCGCAGCCACTGCTCGTGCTGTTCCTCCACGGCGCATAACTTCGTAGACTTCTTGGACGCTGGACACGTAAACCTCGAGCAATCCTTTCACGTAGACTCCGCGGGACTTTTCCTCGTGAACTGGAAGGTTATCGTTCTGGGGCACCAGCAGATCGCGAATTCGCTCCATGTAAATTTCCATATAGCTGACCCGTACCGTGTACTCGATGTTGCTCGGACTGGTCAGGATGCTGGCGAAGATCTGCTCAATCATTCGGGGAATGATACCCTTGCCCTCGTCGTCGTCGATATCGGAACCCATCATGGTGTACGACTTTCCGGCACCAGTCTGACCATAGGCGAAAACTGTTCCGTTATATCCGTTAAGAATATCGTCCACGGTAGGTCGAATCGAGAAGTCGAAGATGTCATTTTGCGCAGTGTTCATGGGGAACACACGATCGAAAGTGAAGGACCCGGTCCCCTCGCGAGACTGGATGATCGGTCAGTATAGCCCTTGTGGGTTGTTCATACCAACTCACGTTAATGCTACAAGACTCTTCATTCTCGAATTCAACAATCGGCTGGCCTCCGGAGGACAGTTCGACCTTGTTCTGCGGACGAAATCTGGCCACCACTATACGTGTCTAGTCAGTCTCGCGGTCCAAACCAGTACCTCTGATCATTGAGCTCAGCTGTGCATACCCTTGATGGTGTTTGACCCCGCAGCCCTGTCGAAGCTTTCAGTCAGCGTCGCCGCACGATCGAGTCGGAGGTTACACTCACGCCATGGTTGTTCAGTGTGGTTCGTGTATAACAGCTTAAATGAATAGAGAGACCCCAGGAAGGGGTATGTGGGTCGCGGAGCTCGTCAGAGACGTCTGAAATAGGGCTTGGAATGTCTGTTGCGGTGTAGTGACACGGAGGGGTTGAGGGTCAGGGGGTCCACGCGCACCAGGCGTGGAGCAAAACGCTAGAGACTAAGCAAAATTAAAGAAATAAAACAGCAGCGAAGCTGCCAAAAGGGGAGTGAAGACACCAAGGGTACAAATGGGACTTGCTGTGGAGGGGGAGGAAGATCGTGGGATTTGTTGACAGTCGCCCGTTCGGGATTTCTTGGCCGACCGCCCCGGACTCGGGATGCATAAGCTTAATATCTATAGACATGCAACAACCTTGGACTTGTGCATGAGTTCTGGAGGGTTGCAGGAAAAGCAGGCTAATACACTAATGCAACTATGAAACTATACTCATAACCATGGGCCTCGAGCCCGGGAGACTCGAACTATGAGAACATGAAGTGAAAAAGAGTAAAGGAGACCAAGCGCCAAACCCCACGCTGTGCAGATCAAACGGTCAAGCCGTTGTGCTATATCCCTGGATATCAACCGGCCTCATTTTGGCTCATTGAATGAGTCTTTCAATCATCCCAGCTTTTCTCAACAGTCTCCCGCACGCGCTTCGTGTATTCTTTGCGGTTGTCTTTGTAGAGGTTCGAAGCCTCGACGTTGGCCGGAGATGAAGTGTTGGGATCATTCAAAAGACTGATTTCACAATAGTATTAGCACCTGCAAGTTGTTGGAGCGAACGGCCAAGCTTACCTTTGGATACTAGTTAGGATGGCAGCAACGTCATAGGTTGGACTCCAGCGGTTCTGCAGAATGTCCAGACAGAGCTCACCAGTTCCATACACGTTGGGATGGAACATCTGGCTGATGAATTTAACACCAGGGGGCTTGTTGGGATACTGTTCCTCGAAGTTCATGACCAAGCGGAATGTGCCATCCTCGAAGGGGGTGTCGGCGGGGCCAATGATGACGGCATTCCTGAGAATTTATCAGATATTGGATCTCAGAGTCGAGGGGAGGTAGGCCTACCATGTCATCACATTATCGGCCACCGGGGATGCAGAGACGCCAGCTGGGGGATCAGTTTGCATACGCTGTAGTCACAGAAATGTCAGAGGCGAATCATAACCTTGGGGATACAAAATGGGCAAGACGAAAAGCAAGCATGATAAGACTTGAACATGTTGAGGAAGTCGGCTCCTTGCTATACAGGGCCATATCATTCGGGTAAAAGCTCAAAGACGATGTGATTGTCACGCGTACCTTGAAGTCCCGCATGAGACGGCGGCGGGCGGATGTAGACATGATTGATTGGCCGTAAGGATGTGAATATGATAGAGTATTTCAATGAGAAGCCGAGCCTCTGTACAACGATATCAGTACAGATTCGGGGGGGTCAAAGACGGAGAGGAGGATGAGAGCCTTCCAAGTTGATACAGCGATATGCGATAGAGGGGGAGGACCGGAATAGATATCCTAATGGAGAAACTACCTCTATCTGGACTAGCTCCATATGTAGATCACGGGACTGCCATTATGTCATAATCGGAGAAACTGCCTCGGTCCAGGCGGAGGAGCGGTTATAGGCGGTTGCGCGGCGGCATTCCATATACTCATGTGCTTTCGGCCTTCTTGCTTCTCGCCTTTCTCCTCTCTCCCTCTCTCTATCCTTTCTCCTTCTGTACAGCATTTCCCTATACATAACTTAACATGATCTCTCCGGGCTTGTCTGCTCGTCTTCCCAAGGCGTTCCCCGCATTCCGTACCCAGAGATACTTCAGCTCCGCACGTCCGACATGCAAGGAGATTCAGGATGCCTACATCCTGAGTGCATCTCGAACACCAACAGCTAAGGTGAGCTAGCCCTGAAAAGGCTTCAAAAAGACAACATACTGATCTCATTGGATTAGTTCAATGGTTCATACGCTTCAGTGTCAGCACCTGAGCTCGGCGCTGTTGCCATCAAATCGGCTCTCAGCAAATCCAAGGTCCCTGTGGAAAAGATCACAGATGTTTATATGGGCAATGTTTTGCAGGGCTCCGTGGGCCAGGCTCCCGCACGCCAGGCGTCTATCTTCGCCGGTCTGCCGTCCACCGTCGAAGCTGTCACGGTTAATAAGGTGTGTGCTTCTGGCTTGAAGGCAGTAGTAATTGCTGCACAAAACATCCAGCTAGGTCTGGCAGAGGCACAGGTAGCAGGCGGTATGGAGAACATGACTCGTGTCCCTTACTATATGGCTCGCGCTAGCCAATTACCACCTTTCGGCGAGATCAAGCTGGAGGACGGGTTGATCAAGGACGGGCTGTGGGATGTGTACAACAAGTTCCACATGGGCATCTGCGCGGAGCAGACAGCTAAAAAATATGAGATCTCCCGGGAAGACCAGGATCAATATGCCATCCAGTCGTACGAGCGAGCCCAGCAGGCATGGAAGGACAACAAATTCGCCGATGAGATTGCCGCAGTCACTGTCAAGGGTAAGAAAGGCGACACGATCATTGAGCGTGATGAAGGCTTTGAAAATTTGCGTGCCGACAAGTTGAAGACACTCAAGCCTGCTTTCCTGCGGGATGGTACGGGTACTGTGACCGCCGGTAACGCATCGACAATGAATGACGGAGCATCGGCACTGATCCTCGGTAACAAGGAGCTTGCTCGTGCATATGGTGCTGGTGGGCGTGCTTTGGCTCGTATTGTGTCCTCGGCCGATGCCGCTGTCGACCCCGTGGACTTCCCAGTCGCCCCTGCCAAGGCAGTCCCAATCGCGTTGGAGCGTGCCGGTATCACCATGGACCAGGTTGCGGTCTGGGAATTCAACGAAGCTTTTGCAGCTGTTATCAAAGCCAATGAGAAGGTTAGTACCAAGCTTGTCCCATCTGGTAATATGCGTATCTAACTCGTGTTGTCTAGATTCTCGGCTTGCAAAACGCCAATGTCAACATGCTTGGAGGTGCTATCTCCCTCGGCCACGCTCTCGGCAGCTCAGGCTCACGTATCCTTGTCACCTTGCTCCACCAGTTGCAGCCTGGCGAGTATGGTGTGGCTGCAATCTGTAACGGCGGTGGTGCTGCAACTGCGATGGTTGTACAGAAGCTGGATCGGGTGGATTGATTTTCCCAAGGCGCTGTCGTGTCTCTGACAACCTGATGATACCCTGACATGAACATTCCCAGATTGGATATGGAGATAAACATAGTGTTTTCTATCAAAAGCAGATTAGCAACACGTAGCCACATAATTATCTCAATCTAAGCATATTCGATGTATACCACAGAACCGCGATGTTGAGGCCTCGACACCTGATTTCTCAGGACGCAATACCCGCAGAATGCTGCCGGTCTGGGCCACCACAACACAAGCTTCTTCAATATCTTCCACATTGCGACTTCGAAGACATGCTAGTAATACGGAGCTCCCAGTCCTGAAAATATGCTGGATCCCGTTGAGCTATCTGTGTTCCCCTCCTGCACTGACGCCATCTCTTGGTCCTCGGACGGCGAGCTTGCAGTTGCTGCCGGGGATTACTTTCAGATCCTGGTATCCATCTAGGCGCTCTTATTGCCTAAATCGATGACTGATGTGTTTAACAGACGCCAAAAAGTGGCAAACATGAGGGACCAACACCAAATGCAACACGGGATTGGCAAATAACCCGCGTCAAGGCCAATCTATTCACGCACCCTGAATGGCCCACTTTCCTCGCCCAAGATCGGAATGACTTCTCGATCGCCGCAGAGCAATCGAACAGCACAGTAGTTGGTTTGGCCTGGTCACCACCTGGACTAGGCAAATTCCGACGCAGTGTGCTAGCCGTGTTAACCTCCAATCTGCTTCTATCCCTTTGGGAGGCAGTCGGTCCACAGAAGCAGTGGACCCGAATTGCTATCGTCAACCACGCGTTGCGGTCTCAATCGGGAGATTCTGAGCAAGCGGAGGGCATCTCGTTTCGAAAAGATAACATTCGATCCTTCAATTGGTGTGAACCACTGAAGGCTTCGACTCTCCCCGCTGGTTCTTCTTTTCTACCCGCATACGAAAGTCGTTGGGGTATTCCCCTTTTGACTGTGGTGAATGAGCTCAATGAAGTAATTCTAATACGCCCCCGTAGATCAGAACTATCGGAGGGCTCTCCCTGCTCTCATCAATTCCATGTTTTGGCCGTTCACCCCCTCGAGAGCCAGGAACTGAACAATTCTCACATCTGCTCGGGGTCCCTTCTTGAAAATGCTTTCAAAGAGAAACAGCGGGTCAGCTCGGTTTCCTGCGGTCCATGGCTGGTTTCACCACTGGCGAGCCCCAAAAACTCTGGCTGTGCTGTCGCCATGCTCGCTCTTGTATACGGAACCCAACTTCGACTTCTGAATATCCAAGTCACTATCGGAAACTCAAACGTGGATGAGCTGCAGACGTATGCCTTGCCAACAGCATTTAAAGAGCATCACTGGAGTCTCTCGAGCGAGAAATTGGCATCCCTTAACATTACCGGTCCATTGCAATGGCTACATGATGTATGCTTTAGTCTTCGCACTGTGCCTTCTTTTTACTGACATATTTATCAGCAATCGTGCACCGAACTGTCTCTCGTAGTTGGCATCATGGCTGGGTTTATCACCATATCTGTACCCTCTAACACTTACAATGGCCACGACGCCAATTTCGACGCTCTCGCAGTTCGCGAGTGGCCAATCTATAACCCTGAAACAGAGGAAAATATGGGATGTAATGAAAGGCACTGGGAGCCTATATCTGGTACATTTCCCAATTTTTCTCATTAAGTTTCTGGAAACTGACCTGTTTTAGCCATGGCCAGTTGTGTGGATGAACAAAATGACACATGCAACCTTTGCCTAGGTACTCTAGGCGGAATTGGTCTGACCACAGAAATGCGCCAACTTCAAAATGGCGACCCCTTGCAGCGGCCACGATGGAAACATATCATCGAAGACTGCCAAGAGCAGTTTGATCTGGACCTCGATTTAGGTGGAAACTCAATGTCCAGGATTTGGGGGCTCTCATCTTATCGCAATGTCACAGCGATCCTCTTCACTAGACACCCGACAGATATGCTCGAGTACCGAGTCGCGTCTGACGACAAATCTACAATCGTCTTCTCGTCAGAGCTAGAACATGACCCGGCCACTTCTTTCCTCTTTGCGCCACAAATTTCCAACGGCGAAAGTCCGGTGCATGTTCAGCGAGAATCGGCATTGAATTTCGTGTTGCCTGGTGATGATGGTGACGTCGAACCTGACGCGGAGAGCCAGCAACTGGTTTATGTCGCCATCTGCTGCACCATTACGGGTAGTAAAAACAAGTCGCTTCTGACACATGCTCGAAAGTCTCTAGAGCGTCTGGCAATTGTTACAGGCGCCGACCTCAGTGAGGAGATGCGCAAATGCAACGGCGAATCAACCGCAATTGCTGCGAGGGCTGCGGATCAGCTCAGTGGCCCAGGCGGCCAGGTTTTCGAGCGGTGCGACATCTGTGATGCTGGGATCGGATGGCACTCAGCCCAGGAGGCTAAGTGTGCGAATGGTCATCTTTTCAGTAAGTCGCCGTGTGATATGCTCATGCGTTGGTCCAGACCTGTTAACCCTTTTCGTCAATTAGCTCGGTGCGGTTTGTCTTTTCTTGCCATCCAAGAACCCGGGATATCCAAGTATTGTTCTTTGTGTCAAACAGAATACCTTGACGAAGACTCTTTGGTTCTGATGCGTGGTGGTAAGCTGAGCCGAACTTTCAGTGAACTGTTTGAAGCTTTCGATACCTGCCTATATTGTGGGGGGAAATTCCAGCCAGGTTTATAGGATTCTATCCATGATTTACCATGACACGAGAGAAACTTTTGCGTGGCAAAGGCCATCAAAAAAAAAAGGATTGTTTTCTTTGCATATGGCAGGTTTCAATATGTTTGGATTGGATCATTAGGGCCTACGTTAAACCAAGAAGAGGGGCCGCAATAGGATCCCATTCATCGTCCCAACATCGAGAGCTTTCTTTCTGTGCGCCTTGACGAAGAGTCTCCAATCTGCCGCTGTTCCCGAACAAATCGGTCAAGTGCTCGGCCAACTCCTCAGAGCTACCAAAGCCGAGCCCGTTGACACCCTCAGTCACCAATTCGGGCCAGGCCTCGAAACGGTCCCACCCGACTACCGGAAGACCAGCGCCAAACATATCTACAACCTTCATTGGGAGATCTACCCCGCTGCTGCTGGTATGCAAACTGACACCCAAAGACGCGGATGCCAACAACTTTGCATAGTCCGGCACACTCAGCCACGCAGTTCGGATGGTGACCTTTTGAAGTTTGCCAGAGTCCTCTAGCAAAGCAATTTGTTCCAAATACATCTCTTTCCGCGGACCTTTCCCTGTGATAATTGCCAAGACCTCTGGAAGATGAGGTTGCGTCGTGGTGGCCAATTCAGAGTACCTGAGAAGGGCATCTATGAGGACGGAGAAATCCTCATCCGCAGTCCAGGAAGTAGAACTGACAAGAACACGGAGGGTTCCTGCTGTTAAATAGGAGCGAACTTCCTTGGTTTCCGGTAACGTTGCAAGGAACTCAGCCCGTGCATTTGGGTCGAGGATGGGATTGAAGTGGCTGGCGGGACGGTCGTGCAAAGGCAAAATGGGGGTTTTTAGCTCAAATTCTTTCCTAAGGAAAGACTTCATAGCATCTGTCACACACAGATGGGCCGAGGCAGATTTGCAGAATACTTTCTCGTACCAGGTCGATAGTCTCACCAATGGATGACTTTGGCCAAGTTTTAGAGCGAGGATAGAGTATCCGAAATTGTGCCAGTCAATGACAAGCTTTGTTTGGCGCAGGAAGCAAGTGATGGAGGCGATTGCTAGTGTAGGAATGGAGGGTGGATTCTATAGATCCGCTAGTTAGCCCGCCATATCATCCACATGGTATCTGGAGGATATACCTGAACCAAAAGCCACTTGGCTGGTTTTGTAGTGTATGCAAGACATTTCCATAGGCAAAATACCTGGAATAGGACTTTCAAAGGTCCATAAATGGTGAACAGAAGTCTGTTACTAGTTTGTAGTATAGCGGGGTGCGGACGAAGCGGTACAATATTGATATTTGGATGAGACGTGATATCAGGATGGGGATCGGATTCTAAATGGCAATTGACTGTCAGCAAGCTTATTCTCAAGAATATCATGTTGTAAAGTGTTAGGTCTAACCTTTATATCCAATGATCACCACCTCCCCACCATGTTTCGCAATGCTCAATGCATGATATTGCATACGTGGACTGCGACCAATATCCCCAAGCACAAGAATTTGAATAGTGGGCTTTTTGGTCCCGTTGGCGCCCGAAGAGGCTGGTTGCTGTGGTTCATATTGTGAAGGAAGCAATAGGATCAGCACCGTGAGCACACTGGAGAGACAGAAGGCTATGCTGATTAGTGACTCGATCATGGTGACAGTAACACTTTGAAAACATCCCTCATATCAGAAATGGCATGAACAAGGCGAAGTTCAGGTGAAGTCGCGAAGGACAACATGCCCGATAAGATAAGAATCACGTGCATCACAGTTGGCCTTCAAGGTTCCCATTGACGGCTTGTTGTCTCTTCAGTAAATTGTTTCTTAGGGCGCTTGACGCCATATTCTTATATTTACATGCCCCTGTTCAGGCGATGCTGAGTCTGACTTGATCTGCGAGGATCCGCACTCCTCCCCGATACCTTGGCATAGCGCCCCATCTCCTATCTTGCTCGAACTTCCTATTCAGCGCGCATTGCCAGCCTTAGACATGTCGACGGGGGGACCGTCCCTGAGTGTGGATCTCACTCCGCCTGTCAATGGACACCACAGCTATGGCCATACTCGTCGCGGCCACTCTCGATCGAATCGCTGGGCGCAACCTCCGCCTCCCATCCCACAGCCGGCCAACAGCCTCCCCCAACCTGAAACCAATGGGTTGAATTCAAGCTATTCATACGGACATGCGCATCAATTGTCGAACGGCCATACACACTCGCATTCAAGCGCCCACCATGATCACCATGATCACTCACACGCACACTACGATCATGGCCATCATCACGATCACGATCACGATCATCATGACCATGACCATGACCACCATAGCCACCATGGTCATACCCATAGTGTGTCTTCGGTTCATAATGATGCGCCACATAACCACGATTCGAAAAGCGCTCATGGATTTATACCAGTCGATACAACAATCAAGGCGGATTCTAACCCCGATCAAATGTACGTGAGCTGGATGCTGCTTAGAGAACAGTAACTGACTCTCCTGATAGCCATGAGATATTCACTAGCGCTCTCATTGTGTTGCCTTGGATTGTGCTATCTTGGCACAACAGGCAGAGCGTGCAAACGCCTGGATCGACTCCTACAGAAACCGCAAAAGTGCCTATTCCCATTGTATCTGTCGGACAAGTCGGACAGAAAACATGCATTTTAACTGCAATCACGCTGGTTTTGTTCGGTTGTGGTCAGCTCCTACGAATCAATCTCCAGAAGACTGGATCATTGGGAGCATCGTCCATCAAATTTCCAGCAGTGAATGCGAAGGCCGTTCAAGCTTCTCTTTCACAGATCGTTTCGGTGGCACTGCCGATTTTTGCAGCGCTGAAAATTGGTGGCTTCTTAGTTGCCTTTGCGCTCCTCCTTGCGACTGCAACAGGAGTACCGACTATCATCAATGGGAACCCACGCGCCCAGGAGCGATACAGTAAAAAGAAACTGTCCATTGCTCTTCTTGCACTGGCCATCGCGACAAGTTCCTTGGGGCTGAATTATCCCTGGGACCCGTCTCCTTTCTTTGGATATGTCGCGCTCTTGGTATCTATTTTCATTATCGCTCCCCCATTCCCTTTTCTTCGCCAACATGGTCCTATCCCCGAGCCGGGTCTTGTTGCACTGCAAGGAAAGTCTTCGGACCTGAGCCAGTCTTCCGTCGTGGCTACAACCGATGCGCCATTGGCTGTCATATCCGGATCCTCTCTTGCACTGTTCACTCTGATTTTCACTCGAGGGATCGGCTTCGGCATGTCAGATGTAATATACCTCCTCGTCCCTACGGGTCTCTTTGCACTTTCTCTCATGGCCTCTCTGCCCGAGGGTCTTCGATCTTCCAACAAAATCGGGCTCGCCATCTGTGCTGGAGCTGCAGCTCTTCTATGCTCTCCTCATATGCAGGATGATCTCCTTGTACTATATGCCGCGCGTGGGATCTTAGCAACAGCCTCGTTCTTTGCTTCTCGAATGGATGATGGCCATTTGCATTCCGATTCCCACGCACACAATCACACAAGCCACAGCCACAGCCACAGCCATTCGCACGCCACTGTCGAAGCGTCGCGTATGTCGAAGTGGCTCCTCCATAAAAGCGAGCCATACCCTTTGCTACATAGCATTCTGAAAGAGAAGGATTCCCGCAGCATCTTCTACTTCATGTGGTGAGTCAAACCTCTAGAGAATCCAGCTACCATCATTTGAGACTTTGCTAATATTATTGCAGTCTAAACTTTACATTTATGCTTGTCCAACTGTCATATGGCTTCCTGACTGGATCATTGGGTTTGCTTAGTGACAGTATTCACATGTTCTTCGATTGTCTCGCGCTTGTGGTCGGTTTGTGCGCTGCTGTCATGAGCAAATGGGCTCCCAATGCTCGGTTCCCTTACGGCTATGGGAAAGTCGACACTTTGTCTGGATTTGCCAACGGCATCTTTCTCATGTGAGTATTATCTGGTGGCGCTCGAAAAGTCAACTCTAATAAGTGCCAGGATTATAAGCGTGGAGATCATTTACGAAGCGGTGGAACGGCTGTCATCAGGAAGCGAGATGCAACGTATCGGGGAGCTGTTGGTTGTTAGCATTGCTGGTTTGGCTGTCAATCTCGTCGGTATCTTCAGCTTTGAGCATGGTCATCATCATGGCCACGATCACGGACACGACCACTCTCATGGCAATGAGAACATGCACGGCATCTTCTTGCACATTCTTGCCGATACGCTTGGGTCGGTGGCTGTCGTGATATCGACCATTCTTGTGCACTATTCTGGCTGGTCGGGCTACGATCCCTTGGCATCGTGCTTTATTGCCATATTGATCTTCGCCTCGGCGGTTCCCCTGGTCACGAGCACCGCCAAATCCTTGCTGCTCACTCTACCAGCCGATACCGAATATAATGTCCGTGAAACCTTAGCGGGTGTCAGCACCTTGAGGGGCGTGGTCAGTTATACAGTACCCAAATTCTGGCTCGATGATACCGGGACGACGTCAGAGCACAGCCATTCGCATGACCACTCCGGTCATGGCGAATGTGGACATCAACACGGTCATAGTCACAGCCCCCATCATAACCATGACCCTGACCACGGCCATTCCCATACGCCCAGCCATTCTCATGAACACGACCATGTTCATGAGCATGACCACGAGCACGAGCACGAGAAAAAGCCGCAAAATATCTTCGGTGTGATCCATGTCATTGCGTCTCGCGGTGCAGATTTAGAAGATGTGCGTCAACGGACCGTCGACTACCTCCGTGAGAAAAACATGGATATTCTGGTTCAAGTTGAGCGCGATGGAGATGCACGCTGTTGGTGTGGTGGCGGAAGCAAGGGCTTGTAATTGGTCACAGTCAATGTTGTTTCACCAGCAACCAACTCATTTCGAGGGGCAGTCCAGATACACGGCGCATTCCCGCTCTTGGTCACCAGGCCGAGGTCTATATCTCTCTTGTACAGACAGGATTGGATACCCCAGTTCGCCCAGTGGATTTACCAATCAGCAGCACATAGTCCTCACAGTCAATCACATCGAATTTATTATAACGCACATACAAGCTTTCTTGCATCACATGTAGGCATGTTCAATATCTATAGAATCTTTCCATGGTGCCTCGTACGACCCGTTTCTCGGTTATTGGCGGCCCTGAAGGGAATCTCACGCTCCCCTGCTGGGAGATATTCAGGCACATTGGATGCAGCTTGTGTCCATCTCAGTCCAGATCGCCACGAACGGCTACACGATCCTCTGTTGAGTTGCACAACACTGGACCTCCGCTACACATGGCCCAATGCCATATTGGTTCTACTTCAGCATGAAAGCAGGAATTTGCTCAATGTTACCGGAGATTGCTAATTTCTTGTCCCAACCTGACGCCACTGGTCTCCTTATCAACAAGCTTTACGAATAAATGCCGATATCCAAGCCTGCACGGATGCAAGAGTGACATCGAGCCTACTGTGCTACCCATATCCGACTATCGAGTTTCATTCATGTTCTAGGGTCATTGATATATGTTCCGAGATGGACATCCAAGCTCGTTGCAAAGTATTCAATCCTTTGCGTCGTGCTTCATTTCTTCGCAGAAACACCAACAGGATATTGCGTGTGAATTCCACAGAGCTTGTTCAATGTCAGCAGCTTCGATCGTGAACACCGCACATGCCGATGAAGTCGTGCGAGGGGGTTATGGAAAGATATTTGAAGGCCACACGGTCTTCTTGACCGGGAGCACTGGGTGTTTAGGAGGTTGTCTCTTGTACAAGTTGGCTTTGCAGCTGCTGACTCGCAAGATCTTCGTCTTGGTCCGAGGAAGCTCCCAGCAGGCAATCGAAAAGTGGAAAAAGTCTATGCCCAACCATGCACAGGCCATTTTAGCTACCAAGAAAGTCGAGTTTGTGATTGGGGACGTCAAACTAGTCGACTTCGGGATTCAACCTGCCCTTCTCCAGAAACTTCAAGACCAAGTCACGCTGGTCATTCATACGGCGGCCAAAATCACACTTGAAGGTCCCATTCAAGATGCACTCGAGAGCAACTGTCTCCCTGCCCTGGAAATGGCACGGATTGCCTCGTTGTTCCGGCGATTGAAACTCCTTGTGCAGCGTTCTACTTCATACGCCAACAGCCATCTCCCTGATGGCCCGGTTCTAGAGCGGATATATCCATTGGGGAATGATGATCCCGAAGAAGAATTGGCATCAATGTTGGCACTGGGCAAGTCCACATACGCAGCTCAGTTCTCGTCCAGTTACACCCTAGCCAAGCACCTGATGGAACGTCTGCTACTCAAACGCTTCCCACTTCTCCCAATCCTGTTGGTGCGGCCAACAATCTTCGGTCCTGCATTGAAACATCCATACATGTTATATGGACCAGAAGATTCCACACCTCTCACCAAGTTTGCTAGATTCTGGTACGCCGACCGCGGGGCCACCCAGATCTGGCATGCCACCGAAGGCTACAAATCCGGTGCGAACATCCTAGACGAGATACCCGTGGATCTGGTGGCAAATGCATGTCTGCTACATGCAGCAGCACGCACAACAGGGATTGTCCAGATCGGATCCCAACTGTACCACCCCGTCACCTTTGACGAGTTCTTCGACCTGGCTCAGGAAAATGCCACGCCGCTTGTCCAGCGAGATATGCCAAAGCTCGTTTTCACGGAAGACCGCAGTGCACCGCAGTGCTTCCTTGCGGAACTGATCCAGGTTGGAACGCGCAATTGGCTGTTCGATTGCGGCCGGTCCTACTGGCTGAAGCAGGTCAGCGGGCCGTTAAGTATACGGGTGTGCAAACATGAGGCCGATGGTCTGAACAAGAAACGGGTTCTCGATGTTTCTGGGATTTCGAAAGAGAAGGCTCGAATTTGAAGTGCTCAGGGTGCTTGGAGAGACTGGCGATAGTATACATGTATGGAGTAGGACAGACTGAGTGCATGCTTTTGAATGAATAGCGTTGATAAATTTCCAAACCAACGGCTTTTGGTTTAAAGTGAGGTATTGTACAAATGTGGCAGTGGATGGTCGAATGGATCTCTTCGAGATCTCGCAGCCCCGAGACTCCATGATGGTCTCGAATGTCTGATAGATGTTTTGCCCCACTGTAGGTGTCATTCAAGTGATCATCTCCTGGCGGGAAGGGTTGACATGCCAGGTGGAAGTTCAATCCAGATAGCAGTACGCGCGGGTGGCTTAGAACCTGGCCTTGATTAGCTCATGGCAAGGTTATTTGATTCTCGATCCCAATGATGCTGCTGAAAGCCGCGACCGAGGTTGAACTGTTCACATCTGAATCGGGCTTTTGTGGTTTTATCTGTTGGTTGTAATCAGATTTCTGGTGAACATTCCGATTTCCAAGACGCCATGGTCATTTTTCAACCGATGGCTAACCTCACAGCGCCATTTTTTTCCGGGGCCAAGCAACAGCGTCCGCCCATTGAGGGTCTCCAGGGCGCAATGCATCCAATAGTTCACGAACCAACACTCGACCCGAGCCACGAGCCCACCAATGCTGACCATCAAGCTCCCCAAGTAGAACTCCCCAATGCATGAGAATCAACAGTGCCAGAGGCTGACGCCGTCGCACATTGTCCACAAACTCCTTATCGACCATGGCTAGCCAAGCCAGAACATTCGCGGCATCAACTGAAGTGTTAAGTCTGGTAGAGAAATGCCGCAGATAGATAATGGCGTCTTTGTTGATCTGATGCTGGTCCGGGTCGATGGTGGCAAGAGTTTCGTCGTTCAGAGTATCGAGCCGCTCAAGAGCCGCTTGTGTCTCACTGTCCAGTCCAATCACCCCTGTATCCCAAAAATTCCTTCGGCGAGAAAACAGCTCTAGTTTGATCCAGGATTCACCGATCCGGTGGATCTTTTTCACGCCTTGCAAGAGCTCAAACACCACGACGATGTTCTCAGTTATACTTGCACTCTCCCCGCGTGCAGCACTAACCCGAGGTAAGGCAATGCCAATGACAGTGGTGATGATAGACTGCGCCAGCACAGCCTCGCAGTTCAGTGGCGTGATGTTGTCGACCGCTGTGCGATATGGAGCAAAGGTGAGATTGTGATATTGGAGGGCGGTATCAATATACACCAAAGACGCCGGTGGCTCAAGGCTGGTGGCAATATGAAGAGCTCCCAGGGCCAAGAGTCCATTCATGAGGAAATCATACTGAAGAGCCAGGCGAGGAATGGCGATTTGCCACACATAATGTTCCGAATTGGACGTGCACAGGCTTTCATATGTTTCAGTGGAGAACTTGTGCATTAACTCTAGATCTCGCACCCCAGAAATGCTCGAAGGAGTGGAGGCAGCGGGACTTGGAATCCCCAGTGGCCGGGGACTGGGGACACTGGCCACACTTGGTACACTGGCCACGACTGGGGCCTGGCTTGCTTCGACTCGAGGCGGCGCTCTCAAATATGTGCATGATAGCTCCCGCGAAATGCAATTGGAGCACGGTGGCCCTCTTTCATCACACTGCGACCGTTAGCCTCGTCATGGTGATGCAGTGGAGCCTTCCCCTGGCCATCTACGGCTTGACACTCACCTTAACGCGACGACGCTTACACTGGTCACAACCCTGGCGGGACTTGGTGTGCGCTCGGCGAGGAGGCATCTCGGGACCCTCGGAGCCTTTGATTCTAACCAGTCGGCTTAGAGCCAGTCGAGATATGAAGTTGAGCGGAGACCCTGACACGTGACTAACTATAAGAAGACCGCTGAGTCTTTCTTTTTCCTCTTTGGCGACTGTACATGCATACTTCGCACCTTTTTCCTATTTTGGAGTCTTGGTATTCTGTGTACTTGACAGATCTTGTCTTATCTTCACCCAGGTCAAACTACTTTAGCTATATGCACAGCCGTTGTGGCTAACAGCTTCCGTGCATGTCAATGCGAAGAACTTTCTACATCTGATTTGAAGATATCTCCGATATCAAGATCTTGAGATCTCGACAGGGGCACTGCCTTCTAGAAACACTCTCGGACCAAAAGCAAGATAAATCTCCGAAGGATCAATGCGCGGATGTAGACGGACTGGGCCGCGTGGGCCGTGTAAGCGAACAATACGAGAACGAGAACGAGAGAGAACGACAACGATAGCGAGAGGCCAATCGCATTGTTTGATACCTCCCTCTCATCCTGCTTACACTCCACTTGACGGCTGTTCTGTTCAAAAAGTTGACATGGCCCCAAAATGTGATTTATATTAATCTCCGAAGTCAAGCTTGGGGTCCTTGGACCTTTGATCATTTATAATCATTCTCCAAGTGACGAACACATCCTTCTTTCCTCTTTCTAATCTCTCGTTACTTCCTCTTACCCTTTCTACTTCCCCTTACGCTTTGCGCCTCTCACTCAATGGCGAGTTACGCGACCTGCTCCTCCGTGGGCCCTTTATGTCCGGTTGAAGCCACGACATATGGCTATTACCCTAATTTTGGCGGAAATGTCTTCTTCACAGTGTTCTTTGGTATACTCGGAGTGTGTCAAACTGGTTTGGGTATCTATTACCGAACATGGACATTCCTGACAGCACTACTCATCGGCACCTTTATGGAAATGGCAGGATACATTGGACGAGTACTCATGAACGACAACCCATGGTCAGGCCCCGCATTCAAGCTCCAGATCGTGTGCCTGGTGCTCGCGCCCACCTTTGTTGCAGCAGGTGTCTACCTCACACTGAAGCATATCATCTTGAACCTGGGACCTCAACATTCGATTCTGAAGCCACGCCTTTTCACCTGGATCTTCATTGGTTGTGATATTGGATCTCTCATCTTGCAGGCCGCCGGAGGTGGTGTGGCTGCGGCCGCTGGCAATGATGATAT